TTCTCTCAAAGCAACGTTCCTTGAATTTTCCAGATCCAACGTGACATTGCTTCCCTTACTCAAGACCAAATGTCGGTTGCTGCTTAATACACAAGACTTAAGAGGCTATGGGATGAGTTGGCATCATATAATGATGTGCCGACCTGTACCTGTGGTGCCATGAAAGATCACGCTAAAGGTGATGAGAGGAATAAGGTGATGCAATTTCTCATGGGTCTAAATGATTCATATGCTGCTGCTCGTGGACAGATTCTTCTTATGCAGCCCCTACCATCCATACGCAACATCTATTCCTTAATTTCCCAAGAGGAGAAGCAACGACAACTGGGGACTTCTCATACTACCTTGGAACCTACTGCAATGGCTGTTCGCCAACACCAGGGACCTTCGAATTCTAATCGCAAGCCTCTTCACTGCACTCACTGCAATCGAGATCATCACACAATTGATACCTGTTATAAACTTCATGGTTATCCTCCTGGGCATCGACTGCACAAATCCAACCGAAACAAGAAAGGCTCAAGTTCCTCTGCCAATCACGTGCAAAACAATCCCACTATGCAAGAATTGAAGTCTGCCATGCCCAACCTATCTGGCAGTGAGTATTGACAGATTCTTACCATGATGAATGATAAGAAAGAGCCACAAGCAAACTCTGCAGGTTTGTCATATATTATCCTTTACCTTTACACCGCTGGCTGATTGATAGTGGCTTCCACCAGTTGTATTGCCTAGCGGTGAAAAGGCTTCTATTATTTCCGTTGGGAATACTTCTCTCAACTCATCTCTTTCTTTAAACAATGTCTTATATGTGCCTAGCTTCAAAGTTAATTTGATGTAAATAAGCAAACTTACACAAGGACTTCATTGCTCCATCTCCTTTTTTCCTAATTGGTGCATTTTGCAGGACTTGGCTACAAGAAAGATGATTAGTCTGGGTAAACAGCAAGGAGGTCTTTACTACCTAGTTTCTTTGGCGTCAGAGAAGCCTTCCCTTCTCCCACCATCATGCAACCATGCTCATGAACTCACCTCTGGCACAGCCGTTTAGGCCATCCATCATCTTCTCGTTTACAATTTTTAGTTAAGAATGTTTTAAATTTCCCTTTTTCAAATAATGCTTGCGAGGTTTGTCCCTTGGCAAAGCAAACTCGATTACCTTTTAATTTAAGTTCTATTTCCTCTGCTAAACCATTCTCTCTTATTCAATGCGACATTTGGGGGCCACATAAAATTGCATCTTTTTCAGGGGCTCGTTATTTTCTAACTATTGTGGATGATTTTACTAGGTTCACATGGTTATTTCTCATGCAAAATAAATCTGAAACACAAAACT